AAGCTTGTCGTAGAACTGTCAGACTGTGAAAGTCATATATAATCTCACTGATGAGCATTTATTCACACAAGTGGCCCCACTTGGGGTCTCTGCTGGTTTAAGAGCACCATTACTTATGCAGGGTTTGACACTGGTCCTCATCATCACATCTAAGCACCTCAGGGTTATTAATGAATAATTTTTCACCATATCCTTTCAGCTGAAGTACTATTAGTTCCTTTTTTTTTGTTTTTGATACAGAAAAAAAATGATGTCAAAAAACAAAAATCCCAAAGACTAAGGCCTTCATCCAGAACCGAGTTAGGTGCCAAACTCCCAACTGCCAATGGCTTAATAAAAGCTCTGGTAGTCTGCGGGGTTGGGACTTATGTTAAGAGTGTTAGGGCTAGAAAGAACTCAAAGTAATTTGGGTCTAGTGGCCAAAAAACTACTTAGGGTTCTAAATTAATTTAGTACCTGCATTTTGAACTGCAAAGATTCCTAGGTAATCAAACTTTGGTAGAAGCATGGAAAAGCATTTGAGTCCAGATAGACGTCTGTGATTTCTGTTTCATATTGGCTAGCTCTAAGTGGGTTCCCAGTCAGTGTCCAGGATTTCTGAACTGCCCTTTAGTAATGCTTAGTTCTCCCCATTTACACCTTATGCAGCCTACGTGCCTCACTGGGCCAGACAACAATTTGTTTGATGCCACCACATTGACCTGGAGGTGCCAAAGGGACCCATTTGGATTTTGCCTTAATAACCAAGGACCCTGGCAAATCATGCCATAAATGGCAACATGCCATATCTTCAGTCAATTTATGTTGCTATAAAATAGCAAGCCCGTTCCATATATGTTCCAAGATATTCCATATATAATATATAATAACCTTGTGGTTGGTTTGTATGTTACCTTAAATTGAACATGTAGCATGCATCCCAGACCTAAGGCTGCCCAGTCCCAATGCCAACAATTGGCATTGGCTAATGACCATCATTTTGCTGTTGCTGCATAGGAAGAAAGGCGAGGCAGAAGTGGGACCAAGAATTTCTCTAATAAAGGTGGTCAGAGAATTATTGAGCTAACCCTGTATACAGTTTTTGTGCAGAACTGTTCACTGCTTTTGATTCAGCATAGTAAATGGCAGCCTGTTTTAAACCCCCTGAATTACAGCAAACAGGACACTGTGAGCCAGATTCTCAGCTGGTATAAAGTTGTGTCAGTCCATTGACATCAATGGCACTAAATTGATTTACACCAATTAAGAATAACTTACCATAGGAACCACGTGGGATTTTTCAGTTTATCACTAGACTTATAGAAGTACATAGATCCCAGCTGAGATCAGGGGCCTACCATTTTAGGTAATGTATAAAGCACAATGAGAAACAGTCCCTGCCCCAAAGAATTGCCGCTGTAAATAAAAAAGACAAGCAATGAGTATGAGGGGAAAGCCTTCTACATTTAAAATTCTGATTCTAGATGATGATTAAGTGAGAGAATTAGCCTTTGCTTTTTACTGTTTATATAATTTATTAATGCCTTTCATTCTGGAATGGATGGGGGTCATGTTATTCATTATAAATGGTATACACCATTTAGGATGAGCATAAACGATGTGCCCCCAGCGGCTGGGAGGGGCATGGCAGCGCTGGCGGTAGTGGGAGCACAGCAGCAGTAAGCAGGGAGCTCCTGAAGATGCCAGCGGCACTGTTGGTAGCATGTGTCGGGGGTTGGCGAGCACTGACCAGGGGTCAGTGGCCAGCAGCGATTGCTGACCACCTGCACATGCTGCTGCTGGTGTTGGCGGGGGAAGGGGTGTGGCAAGCAGCGACTGCCAGCAGGTGACACTGTTGGTGGTGCCTTTTCATAGGGGGTTGCACCACCACATTCAGAGGGTGCATGTGCACCCTCATGCACCCGCTACGCATCGCCACTGAGGATGAGAATGGGTTCTCATGCATTAATTTGGTTGGATATATTTTCTTACTTAACCACCAGAAAACATAGTGCCCTGTGCTTACAAAATAGGGCGAGATCTATTGCCCTTCATATTTGGTTGAATTACTATCTCTGACTTTAGGCTCTGGATTCTAGTCACAAGTAGTGATTGTATTAAGTAATAATTTCTCTTTCAGTGTTGTGTGGTATCTCTCTCTCCTTTGGCACCCATTTATTTAAATAACTATTAAGAAGAAACAAAGGACAAATGATGGCCTTTCTATCATGAGGCATAGAATCACAGAAAATGAGGGTTGGGAGGGACCTCAGGAGGTCATCTTGTCCAACCCTCTGCTCAAAGCAGGACCTGCCCCAACTAGATCATCCCAGCCAAAGCTTTGTCTACCCGGGGATGGAGCTTCTACCACCTCTCTGGGTAACCTTACCAGTGTTTTACTACCCTCCTACTGAGAAAATTCTTCCTAATATCTAACCTAAACTTCTCTTTCTGCAATTTGAGACCATTGCTCCTTGTTCTGTCATCTGCCACCACTGAGAACAGTCTAGCTCCATCCCCTATTGAACCCCACTTCAGGTAGGTGAAGGTTGCTATTAAGTCACCCCTCAGTCTCCTCTTTTCTAGACTAAATAAGCTCATTTCCCTCAGTCTTTCCTCATAAATCATGTGCCCCAGCCCCCTCACCATTTTGTCACTCTCCACTGGACTTTCTCCAATTAGTCCACATCCTTTCTGTAGCGGGGGATCCAAAACTGAACATAGTACTCCAGATGTGGCCTCACCAGTGCTGAACAGAGGGGAATAATCACTCCCCTTGACCTACTGGCAACACACCTACAAATGCAGCTCAATATGCCATTAACTTTCTTGGCAACCATGGCACACTGCTGGTTCATATTCAGCTTATTGTCCACTGTAATGCTCAGGTTCTTTTCTGTAAAGCTTCTGCCCAGCAGGTCAGCCCCCAGCTTGTACTGGTGCATGGGATTGTTTTGTCCTATGTGCAGGACTTTGCACTTGTCCTTATTGAACCTCATGAGATTCCTTTTGGCCCAATCCTCCAATCTGTGTATGTCACTGATTCCTAGTCCTACCCTCCAGAGTATCTACTACTACCCCCAGAAAGGTGTCATCTGCAAACTTGCTGATGGTGCCCTCTATACCATCTTCCAGGTCACTGATGAAAACATTGAACAAAATCAGCCCCAGGTCTGGAATCCCTGGGGGCACTCCACTTGAAAATGGCTGCCAACTAGACATTGAGCCATTGATGACTACTCTGAGTCCAATGCTCCAGTTAGTTTTCTATTTACCTTACAGTCTGTTCATCCAGCCCATTCTTCCTTAGAATCATAGAAAATTAGGGTTGGAAGGGACCTCAGGAAGTCATCTAGTCCAACCCCCTGCTCAAAACAGGACCTTCCCCAACTAGATTGTTCCTGCCAGGGCTTTGTGAACTTAAACCTCCCTTGCTGCAACTTGAGACCATTGATCCTTGTTCTGTCATTTGCCACCACTGAGACCAGTCTAGCTCCATCCTCTTTGGAACCCTCCTTCCAAAGGTAGTTAAAGGCTGCTATCAAATCCCATCTCAGTTTTCTCTTCTGCAGACTAAATAAACCTAGTTCCCTCAGCCTCTCTTCATAAGTCATGTGCCCAAACCATTTTTGTTGCTCTACTCTGGACTCTCACCAACTTATCCACATTCTTTTTATAGTGGGGGGCCCAAAACTGGACAAAGTACTCCAGATGTGGCCTCACCAGTGCAGAATAGAACAGAACAACTACTTTCCTCAATCTGCTTGCAGCACCTCTTATAATGCAGCCCAGTATGCTATTAGGTTTCTTGGTAACAAGGGCACACTACTGACTCATATGCATCTGTAATCCCCAGGTCCTTTCCTGCAGGACTGCTGCTTAGCCAGTCAGTTGCCAGCCTGTAGCAGTGTATGGGATTCTTGCATTGCAAGTGCTGGACTTTGCACTTGTCCTTGTTGAAACACATGAGATTTCTTTTGGCCCAATCCTCCAATTTGTCTAGCTTGCCTTTGAGAATATTGTGCAAGACGGTATCAAAATCCTTGCTACAATCAAGGTACACTACATCCACTGGTCTCCCTGCATCCACAGAGCCAGTCACCTCATGCTAAAAGGAAATCAGGTTGGTCAGGCATGACTTGCCATTGGTGAATCCATGCTGACTGTTCTTAATCAGATTTTTCTCCTGAAAGTGTTTAGAAATGGATTCCTTAGGGATCTTCTGCATGACTTTTTCAGGGTCTGAGGTGAGGCTGCCTGGTCTGTAGTTCCCTGGATCCTCCTTTTTCCCTTTTTTAAATATGGACTTTATGTTTGCCCTTTTCCAATCATCCTGGACCTCTCCTGATTGCCATGAGCTTTCAAAGATGCCAATGGCTCTACAATCACATCAGCCAACTCGCTCAGCACCCTTGGCCTTGTACATGTCCAGTTTTGTACATATTTCCTAACCTGTTCTTTCACCACTGAGGGCTGCTCACCTCCTCCCCAAACTGTGCTGCCTGATGCAGTAGTCTGGAAGCTGACCTTGTATGTAAACATGGAGGCAAAAAGGCATTGGGTACTTCAGCCTTTTCTGCATTCTCTGTCACAAGGTTCATGCATGCTTTGGGCAGGGGAGTAGTAGTGGTTGAGGGGAGAGTCCCTGAACCATTCTGCCTGTACAGACTAATAGTCTCCCAACTGGTACAATCTGGTTATTTATTTCCAATTTTCTTTAATCTTGAAGATGGGAGTAGTTACTATTACATGAGCTGACAGCATAGTTTAAAAACAGGTGACAGCAGATCAATGCCTAGCTTAAACATGCATATTAACTGTGAGTCAAATGGAGGGAAAAAGACAAACAGATTCTGGAAAGTGAATTTCTGCAAGAAAGTGATGGCAATTAGCTATAATAATATAATATAGTGGAATATCTTTCATGTTTACTAAACAAGCTGAAAATTATGCAGCAAGATCATTATTAATAACACACCCCTTAGTCTAGTGGGTAAGATAAACGTGTAAGTATTAGCATACTTCAATCTGCTCTATTTTTAAACACCTTTAGTATTACTTTACTAAAAGAGATTCCCTCATAGGAAACTACCAGTTCTCTGGGATCCATTATACTGTATATTTCCCCATAAACACAATGAGACCAAAACAAATAAAAACATAAAAAAAAAAGAGTGAACATAAGGCTGAGGACATCTCTGACTGTCTGATTTATTACCTTTCAATTATTTTATATTTAAGAAAAGCCGAAAAAGAATAACAGAAACCACAGAAATAGCAAATTATTGTAATGCTGCTTCATCTGTATTGCAGTAACCATGAAGGCAAGTGTAGTATCAGACTTAATTGACTTAGGTAAAGCAGGTCTATTGAACTTTTTTCCTAGAACCCCTTCTGCCATAAGATAGGTCTCAGTCCTCCAGCATCCCAGGATACATTGCAGCCCCCTGCTACTCCTCCCCTTGCAGGTCAGGTGGGCTCTACCCCAGCTTCTCTGCTCCAGCTGTGTCAGGTAGCTCTGCCCCCATCTGCCACAGAGCTGAGGCAGCCTTCCCAGTCCCACCAGTGGTGGCATGGGGGCAGGTGAGGGGGAGAACAGACCCCTTCCCTGGCCCCCACCTCTCCCCAGCCAGGGTCTGCACAGCAGGGGTGGGGAGAGTCTCCGAGGCAGGGGCTTCCCCTCCCACTGTGCAGATCTACTGCCCCAGCCTCCCCCCTCAGTACTCCCCACCTTTCAGCCATGGGGACAAGGCTGGAGCATTTAAAGACCTGTGGAGCTGGGAGATGTGTGAGCACCCCTTGCCTTCTGGCCTTGGCCAGTGCTAACATCTGCCTGCCTTGGCCAACTAATGAGTGAACGTTTAATGATCCAATGTATGCATCTTAGAGAACGTTGCAGAGATTTAATCAATTATGCCTCAGACTTTTTGACTGTCTGAACCTAGCCTAAAAGTCCTAGTCATGGACTAGAACACCATTGTGTTAGTTGTTTTACAGTACTAGAATAGACATATAGTTCCTGACTCAAAAAAATATAATCTAAGTAAACATAACAGAAACTAGCTTAATTACACTTGATGACTGAATTTTAGAAAAAATCAGAAAGTCATACAATTGCATTTTTAACAAATGGATTCATTTTATCAATGATAATCTTATCTACAGTTGCCACCTTCTCAGCCATAGTGAAATAATTCCTACCATGTACAGTACAAAGTATTATAAAAATAATTAAAATAAAAACAGTGCTTGCTTTTCTATTTCACCTGAGATTCTATTGATATATAACAAAAAAGCAATATTTTCTGCAAACTTTTGCAAATGCATGATATTGTTTTATTTGCATAAAAGTGAAGAGGATAGAAACATGAACTTATGTTTGAATGTAGCATATGTGACATATATTCATATTCTATTATTTGTTAATGGGATTCTTCCTTTCACTTAACTGGATAAATTTGGCATGAAATCTACCTTTCCTTGTATACTTGCTGAGTAGTTGAAAACTGCAGAATTTCAAAAGATATTCAAGGATAAATAAAACAGTATGTCTAGTTCATAAATCAGTAAAATACTAAACTGAAATTCCTGTGAAAGGAGGCATGTGTTTATGCCAGAGCTACAAATGTTGATGAATTTTGAGATTTTCAAAATCCATCCTTGGATCCCACTTTTAGGTTAATTCTTTGCCTTTGTAGTACAAGGCATTGTGCATTCACAGGTAATTTATTGGGAATTCAAGGATTAGTCATGCAAACAAGCTGCAAAGTTCATCAAGTATAATCAATTAGCAAATTTCTGCGTTAAATGATTTTTCTGAGTCTGGCAACATCTGAAGGAAAATAATAAAAGTAAATGGGAAAAAAATCTGCCATGACTGAAATCTCTCTTTGTCCATACTACCACTTTGGATTCTCACCATTCAGATTTTGTGCTTATTCACCTGGGTCAGCCCTAGCTCCTCTATCTCAAAGCAGAGCTTTGTCAGAGTAATGATATGGGCTGCAGGCATTAGGTACAACAAGTGGTTTTATCTTATGTACAACAGAAGGGTTATATACCAGAGCTGAATGTAAGTGGGATTTAATTAGAAGCCAGGGGGAGACTGAAGGCTTGTGACAGGAATAAATTGATGTTTTTGATCATTAGACCTTGTGTGGAGTCTGCTGCTGCTGTAATGGGAAACCGGTACATGCTATTGCCTTCAAAGCCCTTGACATGACTGTGATATACTTCTCTGGTGTTCAGTTTCATGGGTTACTTTGACTTTCAGTCTGCACATTTTGATCCCACTTTGGCTTATTAATACAGTAAGGATAAAATGATTGTTCTCCTTGCGGTTACTAGAGTAACATATCTTGTAACCATAGGCATATGTGAACCCTTAATCATATATTTATCAAAATAGCTATATGTAAATTCAAAGGAGGAAAAATATTTAGAAGGCACTTCAATTTAACTGCCCTAAGTGAGCAATAGAAATCATGGGCTATTTGCCGATTTACTCAGATGAGGATCTGGTCAAGTAATTTCCACCTACTTCAGAAAATCACTTGAATGAATTCCTTTTCATCTATTTCTTTTTCTCTGTGTGGCTGTAAAGGACAGGACTACAAGCAATGGACTTAAGATGCAGCAGAGGAATTTAAGTTGGAATTGGAAAGAACTTTCTGGCAGATTGCACAGACACTTGGCCAGGATGAGCTGAGCAGAGAGTTGGACTAAATGACCTCATGAGGTACCTTCCAGTCCTGTTTTCCTATGATCATACGATCCTATTCTTTTCTCACATTGATTTCTACAGAAGATAACATTGAAGTCACCTGGATCAGGATTAGATCCCTTGAGCAAAATTCAGTTTCACCTAGAACTCTATTTTAGTGATTTTGAAAAGCTAGCACTGAGGAAGAGAGAGGCTTTTTAGATGTAATTTAAATGTCTGTGATACATTTGTTTTTCTCAAAATTATACAAGACAGTTACGTATAACACATTGCTAACTGTGTAGACAAAGAGCATGATTCTAGTACCTGGTGGATGACAAACTCTGGGGCTTGTGTAATATGTTCAACTTAACACTCATGAAGTGCAGTTAAAATGCAAGTGGAATCACATTAAAGTGATTTAGCACATGTTAAGTGCCCGGTAAGCATGCACATGCAGTTTAGGGTACCCAGTGGTGGGTTGATGGTGGGGGCAGGAGAGGGCCATGGGCACTGGTATGGGTTGGGTGGGGGCACTGGCCAGGCCCTGCAGAGTTCTTATTGAGTGGGTGACAGCTGCATTTGTTGTTTAACCTTCCCGTCCACCCGCCCTGTGGGTTGGGTCTTTACTTAACTGTTCCAGCTGGAAATTCCAGCCACAATTCCTCTCTCTGCATCTGGTGTATTGGGACTTTCATTTCCTTCTCAGCTGAAACAGGCAACCAAACAAGGCCAGGGCAGGAGCAGAGGAGCGAGACCCATGGCATGTCACTGGTGGCACCTCAAAGCCATTTGAGGTGCAGCAAACCATATGCAACTCACATGCACCCATTTGCCGCACTGCTAATTGGAAGCACAGCAGTTTTGTTGACACCAGGAGATCCCAGTCAAAAAAACCCACCACTAAAAAAGGCTATTTGGTACATGCAGCAGCAGCGTGCATTGCCAGAAAGGGAACCTGGCTGGCCAGAGCCACGCTGACTGCTGGCCTAGCTCTGAGTGGCTGGCTGGCTGCCACTGCTGCCCCAGGAGGCCCTCAGGACCCTAGGTAAGGCTGCCACATGTGCTGGTCCCAACCTCCCTTACCCCACCCAATTCACTTTGCTGTATGTCAGAGCATGTGTACAGGGGCATGCCTGGGAATACATGCTTATTGAGATGTGCCCCTAGTATTGCAGTGGTGAGGGGGAGGGGCCATGTTTCCCCCATGCTGAGCAACAGTTTCTGCCTGATAACCACTACTGATGAGCCTGGACAATTGAGTCCAGAACAGGTGCAGGGCACACTGGGTCAGGCTGTGCACACAGGTCCCCACTGGTACCATGGGGCTGGAGCAGTGGCAGCCAGAAGGAGCCACCACTGCCTGGGATACCTAGAAATGCAGTTCAGCTGCAGAGCTGTCGCAGCCCTGCTGCGTACCCAGGGTGTGGCTGGACATGCCACAGCTGGGTGGCACTTGGGCCAGGGAGGACCAAGAGACCCACCACAGGCTGGACAAAGCCCCTCTTCAGGCCAGATCCAGTGTACGGGCCATAGTTTGCCCACTCCTGTCCTAACCCATCACTGATTTGTCCCAGCTGCAAGTAAACGTGTAACAAGTCTTGAGTAACCCAATGAAGGGTAGAAGTGATTCTGTTACCTCTCTGGGTGTGTAAGTTTCTCCATTGTAGGAACAGGCCCTCTGCAGATGCTTAGATCAGCATTTCTCAACCTGTGGGTCATGACCCAAAAGTGAATCACAAGAATATATGAAAGTGTCATAAACAAACTTTAAAAATGGATCAACAAACTTTAAAAATGGAGTCTCTTTTAAAGGAGAAAAATGTGGGAAACTCATGGCTTTTCCCTTGCAGGATGGTAGAGTTCCAGCCAGCAAGGGGCTGCTTGGGGCCCCCCATAGCCCACACATCCTCCCCCCTGCTTCA